AATAATAATAATAATAATAATAATAATAATAATAATAATAATAATAATAATAATAATAATAATAATAATAATAATAATAATAATAATAATAATAATAATAATAATAATAATAATAATAATAATAATAATAAATTTCGATAAAATAATGCTTTTGAGGGTAATGATAAAGATGGTAAGGGAACGATGATAAAAAAACAAAAATCAGTAAAAAAAATGATGATAAAAGTGATAAGGAAATTAGAGTATCAAACAATAACACAATAAATCGATGTCATTTTTGTTTGTTCTTATAATAAATTTACTTTCTAAATTGCTCACATTATCATGCCCTTTGACTGATTAAAATGATAACTTATTTCAAAAAAACTATTTTGGAACAAATTATTATTATTATAATTAATCAACATTTATTATTTTTGCATATTAGTTTAAAACATTGCAATTTTTGCATGCTAAATATAACAAAACAAAAATATCGCAAAATAATGGTTTTATTTACAAATACAGTTCAAATAGTAACTTTATAAATTATGCAAATAAGGTATGCGTAAAAAGAAATAAAATGAAATATTGCAATTTTTGTCAATTTATCTGCTCGTAATTCAAAATTGTTTGATTTTATAAATCAAATTTTTTTTTTTTCAATATTTTCATCTGAATTATTCACAAAAGGTCAAAGGTCATAGGGTAAATGATGCGTCTTAATTTTTTTCAATTTTCAAATTTAATTCAATAAGCTGTAATTTATCGATTTTATCTTTCATTTTTAGCTAAAAATTAGCATATAAATAATCCATTAAAATTTGATTTAAGTTTTCTTTTAATAAGAATTTAAAAAAATTACCTGAAAACATTTTAATACAACCATTGGAAAAAAATATCGAAAATTAAATTCCACCAAAGGTAAAGCATTTTTTATTGCTGCAATAAGCATTCCATCGTTTGTAATATTCCTATGAACTAAAATTTCCATATTTTGGCTGAAAATAGAAATTTCTCATCAAAATTCCCATACATTTATGTAATGAATAAATAAATAAACAAACAAAACAATGATATCAAAAAGCGATCATCAATTGATAAACAAAAAAAAAAAAAAAAAAACTGATATAGCAAAATACTTCAATCTTAAATTGAACTTAAAACTTATGTTTTAATCATTAACTTAATAGATGAATAAATATGCATAGATACACAATTATAAAATATAACATGTATATAGATTAAAAAAAAAAGTAATTTAAAAAGTTGAAATTTAAAAATTATTTTTCTTCTAACTTACTTCATTGTTCGCAGAATTGCAAATTCGATGAATAATCCATCAACTGAAATAGGAATTGGCAAGAATCGTGATAAACTATTAGCAAATTGTTCGCGCTTTTCACGATATGCTTTTCCTTCTTCAACAATTTTTAGAAAATCAGATGCCCTAAAAATTATTTTAAATTTAATTAATTCATTTCATAAACAAATCATGCGCATTTCAATATGGTGGCTAGCTTATCATGCACAATCATTATCATCATCATCATCATCATTGATAGCTTATTAAAATGGTATTAGTTCATCATGTACTATCATCACCAACAACATTGATAACTTCCTTAGACAGTATTAGCTTATCATGCATTTATTATCAATATCACTGATAATTTTCCAAGGTAATGCTAATTTACCATGCAATTATTATCATTATCATTAATAGCTCATCAAAAACAGTGTTAGCATATCACGTATAATCATCACTAACATCACTGAAGCTTATTAAAATGATATTAGCTTATCATGTAATCATTATCGTTATCGTTATCAATAGCTTATTAAAGAAAAAAATGTATATTTTAGCTTATTTTAGGATGTAATTATGAGTACTTATTAATAACATACCTTAAATCAACTTTTTTTGCTTTAATTTCATCTATTGAAAACCAATCAGCGCCTAATGATTCAATATCAGCGATTACTTTACGTTCACCACCTAAGCAAACAAAAATTTTGACCAATATTTTTCAACGATTCTTTTTAATCAGCCTATTATCAATTATCAAACTTTCATGAAAACAACAACTGATAAATTGATAAGAGTTTGTGAGAAAAAGAATGAGTTAGGCTGAAGTAAAAATTTTCCAAAGTTAATTAGAAAAAAAAAAACAATCGAATTAATTAATTTGCTTCAAAATAATTTCGCCTAATTCAACAATTTATTAATAATTCTATTTATAATAAAATTTGCATCTTATATAATCAAAATAAATTTTAAATTTTCTTCAAAAAAATTAATTTCCAGAAATTAAAAATGAAAAAAAAGAAATGAAAATTTAATTTTTGTACAACTAACCAACGAAAAATAAATTTTAAATTTTCCTTCAAAAAAAATTAATTTCCAAAAATTAAAAATGAAAAAAAGAAATGAAAATTTAATTTTTCTATAACTAACCAATGATATTGCAATAAAATGAAAATCGATACCAACCAGAGCCTTGTACCTCTACACTTAATAATTCTTCTGGCTCACATTTATAACCTGTTTCCTCGAATACCTCTCGCACAACACCTTCCTAAAAATAATTATGCAAATTTATTCATTTATCATATCAAATCATATCTAATAATGCATGCAATTAGCTTCAAATTCCGTAATATATCTTGTAATTTTTTGCTATTTATGAAAAAAAATTAAATAGATGGAAATTTTAATCAATTAATCAAAATTATCTAAAATAATTTGAAAATTTTATCGGAAAAAATTCCGTTGTTAAAGCAAATAAACAAAAAAAAAAAAAAAAACGAATGCTTTTAGAAGAAAGAAAAGACGTTTGAAACTAATTTCAATTCATTTTAAAACAATTTGAAATTTTAATTTTTGAATATTATTAATGATTGTAATAAAAATTATTAGCACAGAAATTAGTTTTAACTTGAAAAAAAAAAATTTTATATGAAAGAAATCTTTACACGTTTATTTATTTATTTTATTTATTCATTTATTTTCTATTATATTTATTTGTTTCATTTTTTTTTTGATTTATTTCTTTATTTTTTACTTCATGAAAAAAAAACAAATCCTTTCAAAAAAAAAAAACAAATCAATTTTTATTTATTTAATATTTTAATTAATATTCAAATTATAATTGTGAAAAGAATTTTAAACAGTAACCAATATTGTTTCACCCGGTTCAACACGTCCAGCTGGAATATACCATCTGAAAATAATGAGTTTGAAATTTAAAAATTTTAATTTCAACAAGAATAATTAAAGCATTGGAGCATAAAATGAAAATTTAAAAATAAAAAATTAAAACAAATAAAAATGTCCAAAATCGTTTTCCATTTGTCTTTTTTTTTTCAAAAAAAAGAAAAAAAAAGGAAAAATAACTGAAATATTTTGAAATTCACGATAAAAATTTATAATAGTAATTATTTCTGCTAAAAAATATTGCTCAAAATTTAAAAATATTCCCAAATACCATTTAAGATTACTTCCATTACTCTCGATGCTAATATTTCTTTAGCAAACTAATACCTCAAATATACCTTAATTATATTACTTCCTGTTCTAAACTTACAAAAACCTACCTATATATTACTTTCTCTTCGTTTACCTATTATATTACTACTTTGTTTTGAACCTAACTTACCTCTCTACTGTTAGTTCGTTTTGAATTTATAAAAGGTTACTTATACTGTTACTTACTTTAAACTTTATTTCGACCATATATATATATATATATATAAAGTACTCAAGAATCATTTAAAATTAATCAAACATAAATTGATCTTTTTCTTTTTCGCTTTTTTTGCTAATTTCTATTCTTTTTTTTCTTCAATTTTAAATTTTAAAATTGTAAACAACAATTAATGAATAATTCACTAAAAATTAACATTCATTTTTGTTATCATTACAAAATTTCAATTTTTCTAATCTAAAATTAAAAAGAAAAAAAAATTGTCTTTATGAATTAATCGCCTAAAAATTTGTCGCAATAATAATAAAACAAAAAACTACAAACTTTCCCAAACATCGTCGTTTTGCTTCTTGCGTAAGTAATAACTCCAAATTACCATCATTACGTTCACGGAAAATTATACCAACCGTAACGTATGCGATATTTTCACCACAACGAATTTCACCACATCCCAAAATTTTTTTTCCCTTTTTTTTTCTTTTGCAAATTAATTACTCAAATTTGAATTAGATCATTTACTTTTGCAAAATTAATCATTCAATTTTGTGACAAAATTATATACTGAAATTGACATATAAAAATTACAAAAATACATTGAAATGAGTAAAATTTTATTGCAAAATAACAAAATTTATAATCTTCCTGTCGTTTTTTTTTTCCATCGAAAATTTCTTTTTCAAAATTAAATTTTATATAAATGTTGAAATTTTTTAATTAAACATAAAAACTATTTAAATATGTAAAAAAAAAGAAACTTCTAAGGATGTTTATTACTCAAAAAAAAAAAAGTTTTACATTACTTTCATCGTTCTTATTCATGACAAAATTTTATGCATAAAGTAGCAACATTTATTTAATAAATTACTAAAGAATACAATTACTGAAAAATAATACTAGAAATATTATTTATGCAGCAAAATTTAAGCTTTAATTTTCAAAATAATATTTGCAAATTTTTTTCAAATAATTTAAATTCTAAAACTAATTTTGTTTTTTTTTGGTTTCATTTTTTTTTTAAAAAAATTTCATTCTTACATTTATTATAAATTGCTATACAACCGAGAATTATCATAAAAATTATCACGAAAATTATCAAAAATTATCACCTATAAGCAACCAAGGAAGAGAAAGAGAGAGAGAGAGAGAAGAAAAAAAAAACAAGAGGCTTACTTCCAAATTCCATATCGATAGATTGATCAGTAGCTTGATTATCATTATCAATGCTTGAATTTGTGATAACATTACTATGCTTATCATCTTCTGACATATTTGATAAATACTGTTAAATAAATCTGAAAAAAAAAAACGAATTTTTTTTTATTTTATAAATTTATTTTATCGATAGCTACAAAAAAAAGCAATATTTCCTGATAAAATATTAAAATTAGCAACTAATGTTTAAAGAAAAATGAAAAAAAGAAAACCAAGAAAAAAAAAATACAAGCAGCTTTTAAAATTTCTGGTTTTCTATTAGCTATAAAATTTCCGGTTTTCTATTAACTATAAAACTTCCGGTTTTTTAACTAGTTAAAAAATTTTCCGGTTTTTTTTTTGTTTATCTAAAACATGAACGCATTTGGTTATACTTACTGTAAGTGATAAATTAAACTTCACTTACTATTAGTAAAATAAATTCATGAAAGTATCATTCTAAAAGTTTATTTATAAAGTAAGCAAAATATATCATTTGATTTTTGATTAACTTAGAGGGATGATATAATAAGGAAGCATTTAAAATTTTCAATATAATAAAAGAAATTAATAATTTAAAAAAAAATTTTTTTTTCTTTCAATTTAAAATATTGACAGAGCAAATTTATTTTAACATTTTACTTTCTTGATTCATTAAATTTTTATTGCATTGAGGTAAAAAAAAAAGTGAAAGAAAAATTAATAAATTTAATGTTGTTATATCAATTTTTCTTTTTCTTTTTCACATTTTTATTTGTTAGATTTTCAAAAAAATTTTTACTTATTTATAAGTTTTTTCTTTTTTTTTTTTAAAATTCTTACTTATTTATCAAATATTTTTATTCATTTATCGAATATTTTTTTATCTATTTTCTAAATTTATTATTTCAAAAGTTTCAAAAGTTTCAATTATTAATTTTCATTGAAAGGAAGAAAAAAAAAACAAACATTTGTATAATAATTAATTTAGAAAAATATATCATTCAACTTTTTTCCTTTAATGTTTACAGTAATTTTTACCTGTTTATAAATCCTTAAATATTTTTACTTATTTATTAAATTCATTTCTTTTTTGAATAATTCAATTACTGATTTTCATTTTTTAAAAAAAAAAAACGAAATACTTTTATAATAATTAATTAGAAAGAATAAAAAAAAATCATTACATATGGCGCCACCACAATAAAACTATCCTAGTTTTAATCGACTTTTTAAAAGAAAAAAAAAAAAGAAAAAACTACTACTCTAAATAATCTACTCTAAACTAATCC